TCCTGGCTCCGCCCCTGGATGGCACCACTCATTCTGTGAAACATGTGATGAGTCATGGTCATCCCGTATTATTGTTATTTTGTCATTGATGACGTCATATTTAATTAGTTATGAAAAAATTTATGTTCAGATTTAAACAATATATCGAAATTTTCGTCATTGATTATTATTATATAAAAAAGTGACGAAATCAACTATAGATCGATTTTAACAAAAGGGTTAATATATTTGTATGACCTAAACTTTGAGCAAAATAAACATCTTGGCCAATCTTTTTTATATATAACATCCTGGCCCAAACTATACATCAAAATAACTAACTTGGCCAATCCCGACATTTGACCGTTAACTTGACCGGTCAAACGCGTTGACTAACGTTCAACGAGCCATGTCACTGCCAACTCAGCAAATTTCAATCAATTTTTTTTTATTTCCGCCTATAATCATTTTCCTTTTTTAATTTTGTACAAAAAATTGCTTTTCGATTTCAGGACCAAAACTTACTCTACCTTATCCATGTCAGCTACCCCATCCACATAAATCACCCGCCGCCCCTCACCTTCTCCTACTTATCGTCAAAGCCGATTCCTCTCTCGTCCGACTAAAATGCAGCGGCGGGCGTTCTTCTAAGCTCGTCTATGCTGCCGATGCCATCGATTAACAATCTTCTCCCTTCTCTCCTCTCGCGAAGAGTTTCCTCCTCCTCGCAATTTCTACTTCTCTCTGGATCGAAACGACTTGGTGAAAAGAGACGACGAGGGGACCCCAGCCATCAGATCGTGGTTCCCACCAGAAACGTAAGTAATCCCTTTCTTCTACCCATTTATTTTCTTTTGGTAATTCTCTATACATACAAGGATTAGGGTTTTCAAGTAAAGTAATGCTCGTGACTAGCATTTGTCAGGTTCAGAGCTGGAAATTGAGATTAAAGTAATGCTTTCACTTTGTTTTTGTCGGGTTAAGTGATGTTAAGAATGATTAATCAAATGCGTATCAATTTTTTTTGTCTTTGCTAGAAAGGAAGACATTATTGAGCTTATTCTGTATCATGGAGGCGCAATGGATATGTCGCGCGATGTTCCACAGTACGTTGGGGGGGGGGGGGGGGGGTTGTCCATGTCTTCAATGTGAATCGTGATGTCTTCTCGTACTTCAAATTGATGAACACTTTGATTGAAGATTTGGAGTATATTTCAGTCGAGAGGTTATCGTACTTGACACCTGGGGAAAGTATGGCTACTGGATTGCATGAAATTGTTTCGGACGTGAAGGTTGTAAATGGATTGTTGCCGCTGGTTGGAACTGGAGATATAAGGGTGTACTTTGAGGCAACAAGAGATCTCGGAGGGCTGAGTTATATGGGAGACGATTATGGCCATTTTCCTGAAGGGGAAGATGCATCTGGAAACATTTCAGCTGCACCTGACTTTATTCGGCTAGACGAGGATGATGCTCAGACATCAGACGAGGAGTACCATGAGATTAGAGTTGATGCTAGGAGAAGGAGTACCAGATTTAGAACAGAGCTTGATGGTGAAGGAAGTTTAGTGAATCAATTGTTTGTGTGGGATGTCAACCATCATGCTGACATGGCTTTGGATAGTGCTACAAGTTTCGACAAGAGCTTGTGTTATGATCCCAAGTGTGATCATAGCACATTGAACTTCAAAACACATATGAGGTTTATATCTCATTCTCAGTTTAAAGTTGTTGTTGTGAAGAGTGCAATTCATATGGGAGCAGATATTAAATGGATTAGGAGCACTAAATCGAGGAAGGGAGCTGTGTGTGCACAAAGGGATGAGTATGGTTTCAAATGGAGGGTTTATGGTAGTTGTTTTCGTGGACAAGAAGCATTCATGGTTAAAGCTGCTGGACCAGACCATAGTTGCCCTCGAGTTTGGATTCATGCGGCGGATTACAAGTGGATTGCATCTGAGTACCTTGAGGTTTTTCGGGTTAATCAAGCATGGAATGTCTATTTAATAGAAGCTGAATTGAAGACCAAACACAATCTTTATGTGTCCAACCAAACTTGTTATAAGGCACGTTTGGAGGCTCGACGACTGCTTTATGGGTAACTTACTGAGGATTTCCAGAAACTCGGAGACTATGTTGGTCATTTGCTGTGAGTTGACCGTATAGGGTCATTCCTGCTCGATGTTGACACTGTGTCAATCTCAGATAAGGTCTATTTCAAGCGGTTATGTATTGGTTTCTCTAGCTTGGCAAGGGGTGTCTTAGAAGGGTGCATGCCTTTCTTTTGTTTGGATGACTGCTTCTTGAAAGGGGAAGTTCAAGGAATGTTACTGTCAGCTGTTGGAAAGGACGGTAACAACCATATGTTTCCATTCGTGTGGGCAATCATTGAATCAGAGAACAAAAGTTCCTGGAGATGGTTCATTAAAGCATTGCAAGAGCTACTTTGGATCAAAGATGGTGGCGGATGGACAGTAGTCTCTGACCAACAAAAGGTACGAATTCCTACATAGTTAATAAACCATTAAAGCATTGAATTAGGCAAGTTGACTTTTCTGTGTACACTTGTGTAATTTGCAGGGGCTTGTGGAAGCACTAAATGACTGCATATCTTCTGCAGATCATCGAAAGCGCGCTCGTCATGTCCACATACATTTCAGAGAAAAACACAAGTCAGCTAGGGCTTCTGATCTCTACTGGGAGGCAGTGTATGCTTTAAATGAACCTGATTGGAGGGCTGTTGATGATAAATTGAAGGAACTTGGAGGATCCGAGTATACAGACTTCATGGCCATGGAACCGGAAAGGTTTTGTAGAGTGTTCATGCAGAAATACTCCAAAAGTGATCCCGTAGAGAGCAACAATTGTGAGTCTGTTAACAACTGGATCTTGCGGTTTAGGAAATTGAGACCAATTGCAATATTGGAGGGTATCCGAGTGGCTATCATGACACGAATTGTCAAGAATCAAGGAATGATGGACCGGTGGAGGCATAAATTTCCACCAGTAGTTATGGGTAAACTAGAGAAGGCAAATCATTTGGCACGAATGTGCACCAGCCTCCCTTCTATAGAAGCTAAACATGAGGTAACCATAGGAGAGAAGGGTTTTGAAGTTAACATGAAGAAGGGTAGCTGCAACTGCGCATTCTGGTTGTTAAATGGAATACCATGCTGCCATAGCCTACTTGACAGAGAAACCAGAGGATTTTGTGGATGACTTCTTCTTGATGAATCGAGTACAACGTGCATACATGCACCCTATCCCACCATTAGAGGGTCGACAAGCATGCTTCCAGTGGAAGGATACAAGGTGTACCCACCACAGATTCGTCGAATGCCTGGACGTCCAAAAACTAAAAGGAAGAGGTAGTCGTGAGAGGTAACTAGGAAACCTTCAAAAGATGGACATGGGGAAGTTGCTATTCGACACAGCCATATGATCCACTGCACCAATTTTGGAAAAGATGGTCACAACAAAAGGACCTGCAAGAATGCAAGCAAGCCAACAGAACCTCCGAAGAAAAAGTCCAGAGCAGCACAACCAAAGAAAAAGGGAAATGCAACAACTGCCCAAAGAACAACCAACGAGGTAATCTCAGTTTTAATTTAAGCTTATAAATTTTTTTTCCTTCATTATACACGAAGCTATTTGTAACTTAAGTTTGTTATAACTTCATCGAAAACAAAGGAAGAAGAACATATGCTCAAAGTGTGGGTTACAAAATCATAACGCTAGAAGATGTCCTATGAATCTTGGTATTCAGGTATAGTGTGAATGGTGTTTGAATCAAGTCAGATATGGTGTTTGAATAAAGTGTGAATGGAGTTTAAATCAAGTCAGATATGGTGTTTGAATGGATGGTGTTTGATCCCAATTATGGATGGTGTTTGAATTTCTTATTGTGTTACTATCGAATGCTTGGGTTTTGAGCAGTGAGTTTGGTTTGATGTAGGCTCCTCATGTCGTCTCATCCTGTAGGAATGTGACAGATAGGGAAATGAGAATGGCAATGCAAGGAATGGGAACTTATATTGATGAGAACACATACAACATGTATGCTAGGGTAAGGTTAATTGTTTGCTTATAACAGCCACCTTCTGTTAGAATTAGTTGGTAAGGCTAATTCTTTATTTTTTGGCAGCTAAATACGTGGGTTCCAGAGGGTGTTGGACATCTGCAAGCCACTACACCAGACTGTGCTACTGTAGGTGATACACAGTTGCCTACTACTCAGCCAGAGACGCCCTAGGGAAGCTAGAAGAAAGCTTGGTAGCTTAGGTTGTAGGAATGCTCCACACTTTTGTAATTTGTACATGGTTGCACATGTTAACACATTTTTCAGATGTGGAGCAGTAGGAACCTATTTTGTACATGCTAGGACATGTTAGCAGGATTCTGATTTATGTTAGGTACTCAAACTTCTGACTCATGTTAGCTGTAGAAAGCTTCGAGCCACTCTTTTGCTAGGTACTCAGAATCCAAACTTATGTTAACGGGATTTTGCCTTATTTTGTACATGCTAGGATATGTTAACATGATGGTGATATATGTGTATGGTTCAGAAGGGTTGGTGAATGCAAGTATGGTTGATGTTGATGTATACTAACTCGGTTTAAATCAATCAGCTTTATTCAATCTCCATTGCATACGAACAAGAAAACACACAATTACAAACACCATTCTTATTCAACATGAAATCTCCATTACATACGAACAAGTTCACACACAATTACAATAAAGACTACAAACAACACACAAAAACAACATAAATTCATCCTAATTTGAAGGCCATAAATCGTATGTCTCATCTTTCGCAGTTTGAGACAAATTGCAGAATTGAGTTAGGCAAGCTTGGCCAAGTCTTCTAAAATCGCAGCCTTTTCTTCCTTCTGTTTCCCGACCTTCTCTTCTGCTTTACAAACATGCCTTCTAGAGCTTCCGTATCACCAAGCTTCAACTTCAGTTCATGATTCTCTTTTATCAATCCATTAACCATCGAGTCACTCTCAGGCTCGTCATCAACCCATCCGAAAAAAATGGCAACTCTTTTTGTGATCCTACAGAAAAGGAAGAGGTGAATCGTGGTTGTGTTGGTCGAAAACAAAGAGTTGAAAAGGATTTCAACCTACCTTCCAATATGGACAAGAGTAGAACATTCTTCCAGGATTCAAGCTAGTGCGAGATGTATTCATCATACAAGGGGCATTGTGCACTTTACATCGAATCGTGCTTGTGTTGGTCGAATTGGAGGAAGTGGAACCTTCGTTGGCGTTTTTCCCGGATCTTCTCGACATGTCTCTTTCTGCAAATTAGGTGGGTGCTCAAACCTTAGACGGCGGTGGCAGACGATGGGCGGCGGCGGCGCTGGCCTTTTCTTTCTTTCTCTACAATTTTGTTGGCGGTCGGAGCAATGGGGGAAGAGAGGAGAGGAAATGAATGAGGTTAGGGCAGGGGGTCTGTTGGGATATACCCGAAATTGAAAAGCATTTATTGAAGTGAGGAGCTCTCCTTCTAGGATGCGAAGGTTTTTTAAGTGTGTTGATGAAGAAAAAATCAATTGCAAATGTCAAGTATGCTTCGATGTTGAAACTAGATGGAACTCAACTTACCATATGTTGGGGCTGGCTGAAAGGTATGAAAGAGCTTTTGATAAATTGGAGTGCGAAGAAGAAACGGTAGAGCAAACTGTTACCATTAGCAGGCAGAATGAGATATTGTCTAGCATAAGAGGAAGATGATTAAAGAGGTAAAAATTTATGGCACCTCCTACATGTGACGATTAGGGAAACGTCAAGTGCTTAGTCAAATTTTTGTGGTTTTTTTTATAATGCTACCTTAATTTTTCTGGTACTGAACATTGTCATCAACAACTAATTTATTTCATGAGCTTATAGTTGTGCAACAAGGAATTTTGTACATGACAAATACCAGTTATTAAATATTAAGGGGAATGACATAGAATACTAGGAAATTTTACCAAATATTGGGTGCGAGTTGGCAATTTGAATTCCTTATTGCATATACATGTAGTTTGTGACCTTATGACACTATATTTATAGTGTTTATCACTCCCATATTTGATACATTTTCCCCTTTTATCAATGCATCTTTATTCCTTTCTCTTGTATTTCATATCTAAATCATAGCTATTTGATGAATGAGCTCTTAATAGACCTCGTACATGTTCAGGTACTCTTTGATGTCTTCTTGGTACATTTTTATGGTTTTCAATGTAAAACAAGACCTGGGAGAATTTGAATCAAGCATTGGACGACTCTATAGGACCAAAGGAGCTACAGAGATAAGTATATGGAGCTTTCGTGATAAAGACAAGGTCCAATGATGGAGTGGCCTACTAGTAACTACTAGTAGCGACTGCCCGACATCGGGTCCAACCTCCTCTCATGGATACCTGAGCAAATCACGATAAAAAAATCTTCAAGAGAGGTTGTCCACGGGCCAAGGAGGTCAGCCCACAAAGAAAAACAGTGGTTGTCCAAATCGTCACCTAGCCGGAATGCAAGAAGGCCTAAGCCCAAATAGAGATCTTTAGGCCTTTATTCAACCCCAAGTCAAAGAAAATTTGTCCTGGTTGGTTTAGGAGAGTTTTGTACAAGTTTTACCACTATAAATAGAGGGTTAGACTCATTAGTTCAGTAGGCTGCACAAATTCACTAAACTTCTGCATACACTTTGCTCGAGTGAGAGCTTAGCATTCGTAGGAGAGGGTGCAACTAGGGAGATGCTTTTATCATCGATGGTGGTACCCGCTTTCCCTTCTATGTTGCTTGTTTGAAATTGATTGTTTGAGAATGCGAACTCGTTTATCTTTGTATGCATTGATGCTATGATTTTATATGATGGTTATGTTGATGCTTATGATTTTCGATGCCCTATATGTATGCATGGATGCTTTATATTTTGATGCTTATGTGTAGGATTTCAATGCTCATCTTGTTCAATAATTCTTATCATCGATGCTTATGGCTCTATAATATACTACTATATGCATTGTGCTTAGTATCATCTATGTTGTTAAGAAATTACCCTATATTGATACCTCATTGATGCTACATGAGTATGATTGAATGATCAACCATCTAGGCCTCCAGTAGTATCAATGCTTGATTGTTAGATCATCGATGGTATAGACCATGGTCTATGGCTCAAGAGACCCACACTTAATCATGGGTTATCCTAACTTTCTTAATTTTCATTGATTAGGTAATGGCATGAAGTGAAAGCACACATTAGCTAGTTAAATCTCTATCACAATAGGCGAATGCACGGGGTAGAGAATGGCCTTAGTGGAAGGGATCGAGTGATGATGTAGATTCATTAATAAAAACCCCTAAAGAGTCTCTTATGTTTCATGTAGCATAGATGGAGTGGTGTGAGTAGGCTTATGCATTAGAAGACCTTGTGGAATACGACCATAGGGCATCCTAGGATTATAACTCGACTATTACATCAAGTTTTTGGCGCCGTTGCCGGGAAATTATAATCATATGTAAAAGCATATAACCATCTTATGTTTTCTCTTAGTTTTAACTTTTGTTTGTTTTGAAAATTGTCATATGAGCCCAGTAAGTACTAGAACACTACAACAAAACCCATATATAGTGGCTAAGAGAATTTGCCTCTATAAGTCTATTATTTGCTTGTGTATATATTTAGAGGCAGATAATACATTTGCCTCAAATACTCTAGTGGCTATAGTAGGGGGTGTTCAAATGGTTATCATGGTATTACCAAACCAAATAAGGCTAAATTTCATTAACCATGGAATGCAATATCATAACCAAACCGTCCAAACTAATACAACAACTAAATTAACCAAACTAAAGTTTAATCGGTTTGGTTAATTGGTTAACCAAATTAACCAATATAAAATCATATTATCATCAAGTGAGAAAATTTTCGGTTAACTTATCAATTCACAATTTATGCAATGAATAAAACATAACAATCAACACATAGTTTTTTTTTCATAAGGATGATATAGATTAAATTAAAAAACAACCAGTACAAACACTGGAAAGGCAAAAGATACAAGAGAAACAAAGAAGGAAAAGCGACATCTCACATAACAAAAATTTATCACAATGGTATGGATTAATGAATTGTTGTGTTTGTTTGAATTGACTTAGTTTTTTAGCAATTTTCATAGGCTGAAAGGACCTTGCTTTCCAGTTTTCATCCAACATAATGTATGAGATTTATCTAAATTAGGCGGTCATATGTTGTGGTCTACACTCTACATATACAAATACACATTATAGGAACAATATCAAGCTTTATATTTTATGAGTCTAAAAGGATGAACGTTTAACTATTGAGTGGTTATTCAAAGTATTAAGTATGCGTATATATTAGATATATAACTAATTATTTATCTGGTTAATTTGGTTTGGCTAGTTAGGAGTGTCTGAAACCAAACCAAACCACCTAAACCAAACAAGCTAAAAACTTTAACCAAACCAAACCAATTATCCAAATTAACCAAACCAAATTATCCAAATAGTACTAGTTAAAACAGTTACCATGGTAACCACACCGTTTGAACACCCCTAGGCTATAGCCTTATAGAGGCAAACATAGTGGCATATATTATCTGTTGCTGATTAAAGATTTTGTGAGTAATATTTTAGCCGCTAATGTCACTTTTATTTTGCCTTTATATCCAAAATTATTTGCCTCTAAAAGGATATTTAGCGGCTATTAAACTTGCCTCCAATATTATATATAGAGGCATATATTTTTGTTTCTGAACTTGGTTAATGAGGCTGTTAAATTACCTTTTAGAGGCTAATAGATGTTCTTTTGTATTTGATTTGTTGAATTAATTAATATTATAAAAAATTAATTAAGAAATGTGACTATATTGTACAACACTCCATTGATTTCATTTATATGATCATTGAACAGATAAGTAATGAGTGTACAGTACGGTTGAACAGAAGGAAAACGAGAGTCCAAAAGTGGAAAAAGTAAATGCCGCTAAACATTGGGACTAATATGTTAATACATGTGCCTTCAATTATCTTGTCCTCTCTGGTATGAGTATGGCATGGAGTGAGATTTGCCTTCTCTTATTCATGCTCCCTTCAATGAAACCACTGCGACAATATAGGTAGTCCCGACCGAAATGAATCGACTAGGAAATTATGGATCTCAGTTTAGATAAATCACCAAATCAACCTCAAATCGGAGCTTGGCCTCACAAATCTTAGCATTTTCTCTCCAGATATGGGTAGCTAGGGTCTTGTGTGTGACGATATCGTTGTCGTCCTTCTTTTTTGTGGATTCGAATGAATGTTATCTGCAGGTAAGAAACCAAGAAAAATAAAGCACACACAGACAAAGTACTTGCATAAACCCAGCAAAATAAAGCACACACAGACAAAGTACGTGCATAAACAACAAAAGAAAAGCAATATTGTTCAGGCTACCAACGAAGAGGGATGCGAACTCTAGTGAGTTCATGGTCTTTGTCGGCTGTGGAGGCGGCAAAGAAGCTGGTGGCGAGAGTAGATCTGTCGCCACCGCAAGTATTTCTCCCTTCACCACAAGCTCCCAGCCCGCAGAGATTCTTCATGGGAGTGCAATTACGGAGGTTCAAGAGGTGCGATTAGAGATCTAGAGTATACCACTTGTTTTAATGGATTTGGCCAAAGTAGTTTTCAAATATAGAGATCCAAATGAATCTAGAATCAAAACCGAGCTCATTGTGGATGGATTTGAAGGATATAAAGATTGCTACATCTAGGGAGGCTTCAAGTTTAGGTATACTTACCATTAAGGACGCCAGCGCCGGATTAGAGGAAGACGCCAACTATGGGCTGCGGGGCAGGGGGAAGACTCGGTGGTGGCGGCTGAGAGGGTGTCACCGCCGGATTTGAGGAAGACGACAGCGCTGGAGAAAATGGCGACGGTGGGGGAGGTTCTATCGCCGTTGGATTTCCGACATCAAGGTTGCTGGTCGGGAGTTTCGTGCCTGCAGTGGGGTCGTCAATGGCGGCAGTATGTATCCTGGAGAAGGTTGAGGGAGGAAGAGGAAAGGGAATTAGGGATTTGGACTGGAGAAATAGAAAGAGACGTGTGAATTGGTGGTGGTAACAGGGGCCTAGGATAGTGTGGTGTTATTTATTGTTGGTTTCATTTTTTAATTGATTAATGGGTGGACATAATGAGGGGATAGGAGTATTTGGTGGAATTTTTTTTATAACGAGTATTTGGTGGACTGGTGGTGGTAAAAAGCATTTTCATGGCAATTTTTTTAATAAGTATTCTC